GCCCGCGCCGGACCCGGCCGCAGCGGCTCGGCTGTACTGGGCTCGACGCGGCGCGGGCGCTGCGGTACGCGGGCTGACGGGACACACCAACCGGCGCGGCCGGGACAACCGCCGCCGCCGCCTCCACCTTCCCGACTTCTCCTGAGGGGAAAAGACGAGGAAGGGGACGGCAAGAGGAGGCCCGCCCCAGGCGGCCGGTGGCCAAGTGTCTGCTAGCGCCCTCTGCTGGCCAGGAGGAGTCACTGCGGCCGCGCTGAGGCATGGGCCGGGTCTGGAGCAGAGTAGGGAAGACACAATGATGATAACAGTATTAATAATAGACAGTATTTATTAAGCGCTTATATATGCAGAGCGTTTCATATGGGTTACCTTCCCCTTCTGTTTAAAACTGTTCAAGGGTTTTCCACTGCTTTGAGGATAATTCCAAATTCCTCACCACAGCCTGAAAAGTGCTCCATAGTCTAGCCCAGTCTACCTCATTCTTCATCGTCCTCACTCAACCACACTGGATTTTGAGTTTTCTGAACACAGCAAGCTCTTTTCTGACTCCTGCAGTACCCTTGCCCTTGCTCTTCTCTCCTTATCTTTGGACCAGCTAATTTGGGGGCCTTGGGATGTCCTGTCTATAGGATACTGGGTGGCGTTCCTAGCCTATACCCACTAAATGATACCAGAACAAACCCCCAATCCCCAGTGGTGGCAACCAAAAATCCCCAGACATTGCCAAAAGTGGAGGGACGTTTAGGGCGGTGCAGTCACCTGGCTTGAGAACCGCTGCTGCGTATGGAAACCCGGATTATCCATAGCTGACGTCCTCTAAGTCAGGTGGGGCTCAGATGTCACCTCCGCCACGCTGTCCCAGATCAGCCTAGTTAATGTTGCAGCTCACCTTTCTCGAAGTTGCTCTCCATCAAATTGCTGCGTTGTGTTTTCGTCTCAGTTCTAGCTGTTTGAAATACTGCATCTTATTTCGTGTTTACCATGGGTGCTCTGGGGTCTCCCTTTAGGCGCTACACAGACTGGCCCCTGTATTTTCTTTGCCACTCCATCGCATTCCCCTCCCAGAGCTGGAGACTAGCTGTTCAATGTTGATGGAATGAATGCACGAAATCATTTATGTAATCTTCACAACAACACTTCGAGGTCAGTGTTATTGTTATTTACATTTTACAAAACAGGAAGATGAAACCCTGAGGGATAAAGTAAATTTACCCAAGGGTACCTATGGGGAAACTCGATTCCAACCCAGATAGTCAGACTGCAGGACCCAAATCTCTTAGTCACTGCAGCAGTCAACTTCGTCTCTCGTCTCTCATTTTCCAAAGGAGTACAGGGAGACCCAGAGAGCTGAAGTTCCCAAATCACTGGGCTGGTGAATGGATTAGAATCTACGTTCCCTAACAGCCAAGGCCAACCTCCACATCTCTCATGAAAGGGACTGGGTGAATCCACGAAGTGAAACTTCATATTAATATAATACTACTAATAATAATGTTTTTACTATTAAAAGAAATGGACAGATACATTGGCCAATGAATGTTTTTAAACTTTTCTATTATGGAAAATATCAAACTACCATGAGCCCATGGACCACTTTGAACAATTATTAGCTCATGGCTAATCTTGCTTTATGAATACCTCAACCCATCCCTCCATCCCCTCTTCTATTATTTTAAAGCAAATTCTAGATTTCGTACCATTCATCTAACGGTACATAGTTCCATTTGTATCCCTAAAAAAGAAAAACGTTATCTCTTTCAAACTTAGCCATGATACTGTTAGCATATCTAAAAAGTTAACAATAGGCCGAGCACGATGGCTCACACCTGTAATCCCAGCACTGTGGGAGGCCAAGGCAGGTGGATTACCTGAGGTCAGGAGTTCAAAACCAGCCTGGCCTACATGGCGAAACTCAGTCTCTAGTAAAAATATAAAAATTAGCCAGGGATGGTGACATGCACTTGTAGTCCCAGCTACTCGGGAAGCTGAGGCAGGAGACTCACTTGAACTTGGGAGGCGGAGGTGGCAGTGAGCCAAGATTGTGCCACTGCACTTCAGCCTAGGCAACAGAGTGAGACTCCACCTTGAAAAAAATAAAAATAAAGTTAATAATTCCTAAAGATCATCAAATATCACACTAGTGTTTAAGTTGGCAATTATCAATATTTTAATAATATTGTTACAGTTTGTTTGAACCCCCTCCTTGCAACTGGGTAATATGTCTCATAAAGTTTCTTTGGGTTTCTCCACCATCTCTTTTTTTAAATTACAATTCATTTGTTTTAGTAATTGGGCACTTTATTCTGTAGAGTTTCTCATAATCTGTATCATTTAACATGTTCCTCGGTTCTATTTGCTAAAAATTGGTAGTTACATGTAGTTCACTTGTATCCAGTTCAGTTTTTTTGCAGGGCAGGCATTCATTTCATTGTGTTCTTCCATCAGGAGGCACATAATTGAGGAGAGGGTATCTTTTTCATGATGTTAGTAACCATTGATGATTAATGTCTAGATTCATTAATTCACTAATGATTAGAAGAAAATAGTGATATTATAATTCTGTCATTCTGGCGGGATGCGGTGGCTCACGCCTGTAATCCCAGCACTTTGGGAGGCTGGGGCAGGAGGATCATCCGAGGTCAGGAGTTCGAGACCAGCCTGGCCAACATGGTGAAATCCCATCTCTACTAAAAATACAAAAATTAGCTGAGCGTGGTGGCGGGCATCTGTAATCCCAGCTACTCAGGAGGCGGAGGCAGGAGAATCGCTTGAACCCAGGAGGTGGCAGTTGCAGTGAGCCGAGATCCCACCACTACACTCCAGCCTGAGTGTGAGAATGAAGACTCTGTCTCAAAAAAATAAAAAAATAAAAATAAATAAATAAAACGAATTCTACCATTCCTTCATTTATCAGCTCAAATTTTCTATAAAGAAAAAATTTCCCCACATCTACAGTTTTATTTGGTATAGTACATGTCAGAAAGGAAGGATAAATATTTGATTCCTTTCCTTTACTCCCAAATTTTCAAAATAGTGTATTGGTTTCATTTCACCTTTCAGTGGTGATCAATATATATAGACAGAGATATATAGATATATCTACATTTTGGAGACAGAGTCTCACTCAGTCACCCAGGCTAGAATACAATGGTACAATCAAAGCTGACTACAGCCTCGAACTCCTGGGCTCAAGTGATCCTCCTGCCTCAGCACACCCCCTCAAGAAGCTAGGACCACCGTACCCGGCTAACTTTTGTATTTGTTGTAGAGACAAGTTGTCGCTATGTTGCCCAGGCTAGGTGATCAATATTTTTAAAGTGCTATTACAAACTCAAGGATTTAAATGTATTTAATGTATTTTATGTCCCCGATGCTTACATTGTCTCATCATTGGCCATTGGGAACCACTGAAAGCTGGCTCTTGTGTATTTTGACAAGACCCTTGACTTATGGTCAACTGAAGTTTTCGTTGTTGTTGTTGAGATGGAGTCTCGCTGTGTTGCCCAAGCTGGAGTGCAGTGGTGCAATCTCAGCCCTGTCTCCTGGGTTCAAGTGATTCTCCTGCCTCAGCCTCCCAAGCAGCTGGGATTACGGGTACCCAACACCACACCCAGCTAATTTTTGTATTTTTAGTAGAGATGAGGTTTCAGCATGTTGGCCAGGCTGGTCTCCAACTTTTGGCCTCAAGTGATCCACCAGCCTCGGCCTCCCAAAGTGCTGGGATTACAGGCATAAGCCGCTGTGACTGGCCCTGGAGTTATAGTCTGACAGGGCCCCGGGCCGTTCAAGAGATGAAAGCAATATTGAATTCTTGACTGATCCATACAGAAGGCTTACTGACCAGCTCCACGCTGGCTAAATATGACACCCAGCAGTGTCTTATTCATAACCAACAAGTGCGCTCATGCCACAGCCAGTGACTTACTTGTTTCTATATTTGCAGTGCTCTTTTGTCATTTGTTTGTTCTCTGGTTGCTCATCTCTCCGTGGTCTATCATCTGATAAATTCCAAAATCCGAAGGCGTGGCTGTAGCACCTTATGCAAACAGTTAAACGAGCGCTTGGTTGATTATTGTGTTTTTGTTGTTTTAAAGAGACAGGAGTAAGGCTGGGCACAGTGGCTCGTGCCTGTAATCCCAGCACTTTGGGAGGCCAAGGCAGGAGGATCGCTTGAGCACAGGAGTTTAAGATCAGCCTGGGCAACATAGTAAGACCTTGTCTCTACAAAAAAAAAAAAATTGATTAGCTGAGTATGGTGGCATGTGCCTATAGTTCCAGCTCCTCAGGTGGCTAAAGCCAGAGGATTGCCTGAGCCCAGCAGGTTGAGGCTGCTGTGAGCTGTGATCGTGCTACTGCACTGCAGGCTGAGTGACAGAGCAAGACCCTGTCTCAAAAAAAAAAAAAAAGAGAGAGAGAGAGAGAGATAAGAGTAGGTGCAGTATTTCCAAACTGTGAACCTGTAGGAAGGTGAAGTTAGGTCCAACATGTTTTCCTCAAGCTGAAAGTTTATACAGCCCTTTTGGATGTTAGCTGTTTTATGCCATACATGGTATCAAAGTCAGTTTCTACTTTAAAATATCCCAAGGAGAGTTTGCTGTGTATCAAGCAAGACTATTTATTTGCTTTAATTTCCCTAACTCTCACAGCAACGCAGAAAGTGGTATTATTACAGCTATTTTATATATGAGGAAACTAAGGCTCTGAAAGGCTGGCCTGCCCAAGGCCATGCCGGAAGTGAGGCATGAAGCCAGGATTGAAACCCAGATCTGGCTGCAAGGCACCAGCTTCTGCTTCCAGTGACTGAAGACTGATCCTGCTTGTTGGACTTGCAAAGCAGAAATTACCTTTTAGAGATGTTAACACTGCAGCCAGAGTAATCTTTTCAAAATCCCAATGTGATTCAGATGTCCCCAGTCCCCCTCCCCCTACTTAAGCTTTTGCTTTGCTCTTAGGATGAAAGAAAACCTCTTAGGCTCAGAAGCCCTGCACAGGCAGCCTCTTTCCTACCCACCCTAGGTCTCTCCCAGCCTGGCCCAGCACACCCCCAGCAGCGCACACACCCCCGCCCCCCGCCGCCCCCTGGCCTCTGCCCCATGCCCCGATGCCTTGGGCACCATCCTAAGTCCCCACCGCTCTGCTCCAGCCCTACTCCGTCTCAGTTTTTTACATTCTCCTGGCTCCCACCACAGGGCCTTTGCACACACTATTTTTGTTGGTAAAAAATGGTCTTCCATCTCCTCTTTCCTTTCTCAACCATAACAGATCCAGCTTAATATCTGTTTTTCAGAGATCCGTTCCTGACATGCCTAACCATGTCAGACCTCATTATATGTACTCATAGCCCCACGTGCCTCTCCTTTATAGCATTTGCTGCTGTGGCTACTTACATTGCTCTGTGATTTTCAATTAGGGTCCCTCTTCCTTCCCCCAGCCCCATACACTGCAGGCCTCCTCCGGGAAGGGACCAAGTCTGTGTTTGTCCGCTATTATTTCTCCAGCACTCACTGTGAGACTTGGCCCTTAGAAAGGGCTCAGTAAATATTGGTTGAATGAATAAATAGAGGCAGCAATGAGGAGGCAGAGATGAAGCTTCCCTCACTTTCATGCAGCAGGTTCAGCATTCCGTGTATTGTTCTCTCTGCTGTTTTGGCTCCCAGAATGACTACAGTTCTGTCAAAGCTACAACAGTTTTGTTAAGGAACTTGCAAATTCTGGAATCAGACTTCCAGTGGTAAGAATCTAAAACCTCCCTGAATGCTGTCTGACTTGCTTAAAGGTCCTTGGCCTGTCTTATCTGGTGAGTCAGAGAATATATCCCCGACAAACCCTGGTGTTTGAAGAGGCCCCAGGGAGCCAGCAGCAAGCTGCCAGCTCATCTTAGGCTGCTCCACCCTCCATGCCTGCAGGCAAGGCCCCAAGAGGAGGCCCCCTGTTTACTTGAGAACAAAGCAGGACTAGCAGTAAGAAACACCATGGGATGGCCAGTGCTGGCTTTGTCCCTAAAGGGCTTTCCGTTCATAAAGGTCATCTGTTTAGACTTTTTTTTTTTTTTTTTTGAGACAGAGTCTTGCTCTATTGCCCAGGCTGGAGTGCAGTGGCACGATCTTGGCTTGCTTCAACCTCCGCCTCCTGGGTTCAAGTGATTCTCCTGCCTCAGCCTCCCAAGTAACTGGGATTACAGGTATGAGTCACCATGCCTGGCTAATTTTTTTTTTTTTAGTAGAGACGGGGTTTCGCCATGCTGGCCAGGCTGGTCTCGAACTCCTGACCTCCAGTGATCCTGTCACCTCAGCCTCCCAAAATGCTGGGATTACAGGCATGAGCTGCCACGCTCGACTTAGGTTTAGACTTTTGACGATATCTCTAAGTTACTGCAGTGTCAGAAAGATCCATTGACAGAATAGAAAAAAAGATGTTTCCGGTCATGTCCCACATCGTTCTTGCCAGCTGCAGTGCACTCATACTTTTAGTAAGTCTTGGACCTACATTGTGAATAGTGCGATTGCTGTATTTGCTTTGTTTACCTCTATATTAAGTTTAATGTTGTCTTAATAAACTTACTATTTAATATTAATAAAATTAATATTGAATATTTAATTAATATTCAACAATATATTGGTTAAGTTTAATTATTTTAGAATATGCCACAGCTTTGGGAGGCCCTGTTTCTGGGACCCTCAAAAAAAATTGAGCTGGTCACAAAACAAGCTACCTTCTTCCCCAAGCCCCCACATTTCTGATCGACTTTCCCTAGCCCCAAGTCTTAGAGCACAGAGCCTCTCTCAGAAGCCCCCAAATCCTCTCTTAAACACCCAGTTTCAGTCAGGTAGCTCTGGGTGGC